GTGTGTGTGTGTGTGTGGGAGCCTGTACCCCAGTGAGAGTCAGTGTGTGTGTGTGTGGGAGCCCGTACCCAGTGAGAGTCAGTGTGTGTGTGTGTGTGGGAGCTGTACCCCAGTGACAGTCAGTGTGTGTGTGTGTGTGTGTGGGAGCCTGTACCCAGTGAGAGTCAGTGTGTGTGTGGGAGCTGTACCCCAGTGAGAGTCAGTGTATGTGCAAATGGGGTCCCTGTACTAACATCAGTTAAAAATCTGGTGACTTGCCCATGGGAGCGTGTGTGCAAATTGGCTTCCAATCTAACAAAGAATTGAACACAAAACCCAAACTGACATTGGCAGTGCAGTACTGAGGGAGTGTTAGCCTCTCGGATGAGCCTTTTTACAAGTGAGGCATTAAACTGAACCTTCACCTGCCTTCTCACATGGGCATGTAAGAGGATCCAGAAGATGCAGGTGCAGAAGTAGGCCATTCAGCCCATTGGGTCTGCTCCAATGCTTCAATGATATCCTGGCTGATCATCTTCAACTCCACATTCTTGCCTTTTTTCCCCTAACTGGTTAGAAGTCCGTCTGTCTTAGCCTTGAACCTCCTTAATGACACAGCATTGACAACCCTCTGCAGTAAAGAATGCCACCGTTCCCTACCTACTGAGAGAAGAAATTCCTCCTCATCTCCATCTTAAATGTGTGACCCCCTTATTCTGAAATTATGCCCTCAGGTCCTGGACTGTCCCACCAGAGGCAACAACAAAGTGTATTATAAGCTGGAGAGGGTTCAGAAGAAAGTTACCAGGATGTCGCTGGGAATGGAAGGTTTGAGTTATGAGGAGATGCTGGATAGGCTGGGACATTTTTCACTGGAATGTATGAGGTGAAGGAGTGACCTTACAGAGGTTTATAAAATAATGGGGGTTATAGATAAGGAGAATGGCAGGTGTCTTTTCCTTAGGGTGGGGGATTTCAAGACTAGGGGGCATAATTTTTAAGGTGAGAGGAGAAAGATTTAAAAAAGACATGAGGGGCAATTTTTTACACAGAGAGTGGTTCATGTGCAGAATGAACTTCCAGAGGAAGTGGTCGTTGCGGGCACAGTTACAACATTTAAAAGACATTTGTAGAAGTACACGAAGAAGAAATGTTTGGAGCAATATGGGCCAAACACAGGGAAGTGGGACTGGTTTAGTTTGGGATTATGGTCGGCATGGACTGGTTGGACCGAAGGGTCTGTTTCCGTGCTGTATGACTCTATAGTGTCTGCATATCTACCCCTGTCAAGCCCCCTAAAAATCTTGTATGTTTCATCGCCTGTCATTCTTCTAAACTCATTAAAAAATCCGTCCATAACCAGGATTAGCCAAGTGAACTTTCTCTGGACTGTTTCCAATGCCTTAAATAAGGCGACCAAAACTAGTAATTGCAGAGCAGAGATAGTAGGAACTGCAGATGCTGGAGAATCTGAGGTAACAAGGTGTAGAGCTGGATGAACACAGCAGGCCAAGCAGCATCATAGGAGCAGGAAGGCTGACATTTCGGGCCTAGACCCTTCATCAGAAATGGGGGAGGGGAAGGGGGTTCTGAAATAAATAGGGAGAGAGGGGGAGGCGGATAGAAGATGGATAAAGGAGAAGATAGGTGGAGAGGAGACAGACCGGTCAAAGAGGCGGGGATGGAGCCAGTAAAGGTGAGTGTAGGTGGGGAGGTAGGGAGGAGATAGGTCAGTCCAGGGAGGACGGACAGGTCAACAGCATTCCAGCTGTAGTCTGCTCAATGCCTTGTACGGTTTTAGTAAGCCCTCTCTATTTTTATACTCCATTCCCTTTGAAATAAACGCCAACATTCCATTTGCCTTCCCTATTACCTCAGAATTTGAATGCTAGCTTTTGTATAATTCATTACAAGGACACCCAAATCCCACTGTGCTGCAGCATTCTGCAGCCTTTTTTGCATTTAAATCATATTCAGCTCGTTTTCCTGCCAAAGTACATAGCCTCAAACGTTCCCACATACCTGCCAAGTTATTGTCCGTTCGCTTAACCTGAAGATATCCACAAGACCACAAGATATAGGAGTAGAATTAGGCCATTAGGTCCATCGGGTCTGCTCCGCCATTCAATCATGGCTCCTATGCTTCTCAATGCCATTCTCCGGCCTTCTCCCTGTGACCTTAGAGTTCCTTACCAATCAAGAACCTACCTATCTCTGTCTTAAATCCACTCAATGACTTGGCCTCCACAGCCCTCTGCTGCATTGAGTTCCACAGATTCGCCACCCTCTGGCTGAAGAAATGCTTCCTCATCTCCATTCTAAAGGGTCGTCCCTTCGCTCTGAGGCTGTGCCCTCAGGTCCTAGTCTCTTTTACTGGTGGAGGTACCTTCTCTGCACCACTCTATCAAGACGTCTTAGTATTCTGCAAGTTTCAATTAGATCACAGGGAAGGTGATGGCCTAGTGGTATTATCACTGGACTGTTAATCCAGAAGCCCAGATAACGTTCTGGAGACCTGGGTTCAAATCCCACCACGGCAGATGGTGGAGTTTGAATTCAATAAATATCTGGAATTAAGATTCTAACAATGACTGTGAATCCATTGTCAATTGTCGGATGCCCTTTAGGGAAGGAAACTGCCATCCTTACCTGGTCTGGGCCTACATGTGACTCCAGACCCACAGCAATATGGTTGACTCTTAACTGCCCTCAGGGCAATTAGGGATGGGACAATAAATGCTGCCTAGCCAGCGATGCCCTCATCTAGTGAACGAATGAAGACCTGCCTCCATCACAATCTCTGGCAACACATCCCAGACCCGAACCACTCGCTGCGTGAAAACATAGAATCTCCTCGTATTACTTTTGGTTCATTTACTAATTATCGTAAGTCCACGCCCTCTCATTCTCAATCCTTTGACCAGTGGGAATTGTTCCTCCCTGTCTACCCTGCCTGAGACCCCTCACAGTTTTGAAAACTTCTGTCAAATCACCTCTTTCTCCAAGGAGGGCACCCCCAATCTATCCATGTGACCAACGTTCCTCATCCCTGGATCCATCCTCTGAATTTGATGGCAGTGCAGCGCTCCCTTCAATACCGTTAACAAGGAATCACAGGTCTAGGTTGTGTGGTCAAGCACCCTGAAGATACAAGGTAGTAATGGCAGGAAGCATTGGCATAGCAGTAATAACTCTGGACTGCTAAAGGAAAGATGTTATTAAACTTGAAAGAGCGCAGAAAAGATTTACAAGGACGTTGCCTGGGTTGGAGGGTTTGAGCTCTAGGGAGAGGCTGAATAGCCTGAGGCTATTTTCCCTGGAGCGTTGGAGGCTGAGGGGTGACCTTATAGAGCTTTATAAAATCATGAGGGGCATGGATAGGGTGAATAGTCAAGGTCTTTTCCCCAGGGTAGGGGAGCCCCAAACTGGAGGGCATAGGTTTAAGGCGAGAGGGGAAGTATTTAAAAAAGACTTAAGTGGCAATTTTTTCACGCAGAGGGTGGTGCGTGTATGGAAGGAGCTGCCAGAGGAAGTGGCGGAGGATGGTACAATTACAACATTTAAAAGGCATCTGGATGGGTATATGAATAGGAAGGGTTTAGAGGGATATGGGCCAAATGCTGGCAAATGGGACTAGCTTAATTTAGGATATCTGGTCGGCATGGATGAGTTAGACCAAATGGTCTGTTTCTGTGCTGTACGTCTCTACGATTCTAGTAATCCAGGAGTTCAGGCTAATATTCACTGGGTCATAGGTTCAAATCCTGCCACGGCAGATGGGGATATTTTAGTTCAATTTTTACCTCAATGAATGTTTTTAAGGCAATGATGGATTTTTGAACAGTACAGGGATTAAGGGTTAGCGACAGCGGGCGGATAAGTGGAGTGGAGTCCACGAAAAGATCAGCCATGATCTTATTGAATGACAGAGCAAGCTCGAGGGGCCGAATGGCTGCTCCTGCTCCCATTTCTTATGAATGGGTTCAATGCCCCAGAAGGCGAGGGCGAGATACCAAAGACACTATAGTATGTGTGTGGGTGTTAGATGCTCGCTAGACAATCAGCTACAAAGAGATAACAAGGTGTAGAGCTGGATGAACACAGCAGGCCAAGCAGCATCAGAGGAGCAGGAAAGCTGACGTTTCGGGCCTAGACCCTTCTTCAGAAAGAAGGTCTGCAGTTCCTACTATCTCAGCTACAAAGAGAGTTTGGATAGACTGTAATCGTTTTCCATGGAGCAGAGGAGACTGGTGGAGAATGACGTATGACTGAGATGTATAAAACTAAGAGGGGAATAGACAGGGTAGGCAGAGAGGAACTGCCCCCTTTGATGGAGGGATCAATGACCAGGACCATCGATTTAAGCTAAAGGGTAGGAGGTTTTGAAGGGAATGTGAGGGAAAATGTTTTCACTCAAAGGATGGTGGCAATCTAAAACTCAACTGGAGACAGGAACATAACATTAAAGAAGTATTTAGATATGCATTGACCATATGATTTGGATGAGAATATAGGAGGCAAATCTAAGATTACAAAGAGATCTATATCAATTGGGTTAATGGGCTGAGGGGTGGCAGATGGGGTTTTATTTGGATAAATGAGAGGTATTGCAGTTTGGCAAAACAAACAAATTTAATGTTAGGGCCGTGGGTAGTATTGTAGAGCAGAGAGACCTCGGGGTTCAGGATACATAATTCTTAGAAATTTACGTCACAGGTGGACGGAGTTCAGAAGACGTTTAGCAAACTTGCCTTCATTGCTCAGACCTTTGAGTATAGGAGTTGGAACGTCATCAGTTATTGGCTGGATATGCTGGGACTTCCATCACTGAAGCCTAAGAGGTTGAGGGGGTGACCTTAGAGGTCTATAAAATCATGAGAGGCACAGATAAAGGTGAATAACAAAGGTCTTTTCTGTAGGGTTGAGAAGTTCAAAACTAGGGAGTATATTTTTAAGATGAGAAGAGAAAGTTTTAAAAAGGGGGCAATTTTTTTTTACATACAGAGTAGTTCATGTATGGAATGAATTTCTAGAGGAAGTGTGGGTACCGTCACAAATGTTTAAAAGATATTTGGAATAAGTACGCAAATAGGAAAGGTTTGAAGGGATATAGACCAGGAGCAGGCAGGAGGGACTAGTTTAGTTTGAGAATATGGTCAGCGTGGAGTAGAATCATAGAGATTTAGAGAATGGAAACAGACCCTTCATCCAATTTGTCCATGTCGACCATGTTTCCTAAATTAATCTAGTCCCATTTGTCAGCATTTGGCCCATATCCCTCTAGACCCTTCCAATGCATATGGCCATCCAGATCCCTTTTACATGTTGTAATTGTACCAGCCTCCATCACTTCCTCTGGCAGCTCATTCCATACACGCACCACCCTCTGCGTGAAAAAGTTGCCCCTTAGCTCCTTTTTAAATCTTTCCCCCCTCACCTTAAACCTATGCCCCTCTAGTTTTGGACTCCCCTACCCTGGAGAAAAGACTATTCACCCTGTCCATGCCCCTCATGATTTTATAAACTTCTACAAGGTCACCCCTCAGCCTCCGATGCTCCAGAGAAAAAAGCCCCAGCCTATTCAGAGATAGTAAGAACTGCCGATGCTGGAGCCTGAGATAACACAGTGTGGAGCTGGAAGAACACAGCAGGCCAGGCAGCAGAGGAACAGGAAAGCTGATGTTTCGGGTCAGAAAGGGTCTGAAGAAGGGTCCCGACCCGAAACGTCTGCTTTCCTGCTCCTCTGATACTGCCTGGCCTGCTGTGTTCCTCCAGCTCCACACTGCGTTATTACCAGCCTATTCAGCCTCTCCCTGTAGCTCCAACCCTGGCAACATCCTTGTAAATCTTTTCTGAACCCTTTCAAGTTTCACAACATCTTCCCTATAGCAGGGAGACCAGAACTGAAGGCACGATTCCAAAAGTGGCCCTAACCAATGTCCTGTACAGCCGCAACATGACCCTCCCAACCCTTCTACTCAATGCACTGACCAATAAAGGCGAGGTTGAGTTGGGACCTAAGGGTCTGTTTCCATGCTGAATGATTCTGTACACATTTCCAATACCAAGGCATTCAAGGCTTGGGATAAAAGTGCTGGACAATGGGTTGGTTTTGACCAGCACGGGGATCGATGGGCCGAAGGGTCTGTCCCAGTACTCCACGACTTTTTGCTGATGGGTGGGAAGGGAAGGGAAGGGAAGGGGGGGCTGTCTTTGGCTTACCATCTCCTTCCGTAACAAAGCCAGGGCCGCGTCCAGATTGGCCGGCTTGTTCCTCAGTAACTTGTCGGTGGCCAGGCGGGGCCGGCTCAGCTCGTCCTGGATCATGGTCTTCTTGGCGTACAGCCTCTCCACGTCCCTCCACGACCCCCCGCTGGAATTGAGGATCCCGCTCAGACCCTTGGGCAACGGGGGGAGCCCCTCGATGCCAGAGACCAGGCTCCCGGAGGGCTCGTCCTGCACCCCGTTCATACCCTCTTTCCCCGCTGTGGTCTACCTAGCTCATGCAGCACTGTATCACCCGGTATCTCAGTCAAAGTTTCCTCTCTGTTCCCCTCCCTCTCTCTCCCTTCCTCCAGGGAACGCTACAACTAATGAAATTGGTAAAGAAGAATGCAACTTGGAACCAGTTTTGCACACTCTCTCTCTCTTTGCTTTTAAAAAAAAGGCTTTCCTTTCCAATTCTTTGTTGTAGTCTTCTTAAAAGCTAATCCTCTCTGTTTCTTTTACAGGCGCGCACACTACAAATCCTTCTGCCTGGGATTTCCTGTTTAAAAGGAACTGGTTTCTGTGTGGATCCTGTTCTTTTGTTTACCACCACGCCCTGAAAGCGTGAGGGCATTGCTATTTCCTTTGCAAACTTTTAATTTTGTTTCCGACGCTTCTCTCCGCCCCCCCCCCCAAAAAAAAATTTAACCACGCCTCTCCAAAGCCCAAACCAAAAATCTCAAGCTATTTCCGCACCTGAGTTTTGTTTTCTTTCTCCCCCCCCCAATAAAAAATAGGTTGTTTTTAAATTCCACTGGTAACTGATCTCGTTTTCACCTGTGGTAATTTCTGCAGGACATTTACTGTCCTCTCACTGTCTCTTTTAAAGGTTGCTAATTTCTGACAATAATTACTGTCCTCTCACACGCCCCCTCTCTCTTTTCTGATTTTCTGAATAAGGCTCCAGAGGGTCCAGACCCGAAACGTCAGCTTTCCTGCTCCTCTGGTGCTGCCTGGCCTGCTGTGTTCATCCAGTCCTACACCTTGTTCTCTCTCTCTCTTTCACAGCGTTTATGTTTCTGAGGTAGTGCAAATAAAGACATCGTGCACAGCAAGATCCCACAAAAGCAGGGGGATAAATAGTCACGGAGTCACATAGAGATGTGCACAGCTCAGAAACAGACCCTTCGGTCCAACACGTCCATCCTGACCAGATATCCCAAATAAACCTAATCCCATTTGCCAGCATTTGGCCCATATCCCTCTAAACCCTTCCTATTCATGTACCCATCCAGATGCCTTTTAAATGTTGTAATTGTACCAGCCTCCACCACTTCCTCTGGCAGCTCGTTCCATACACGCACCACCCTCTGTGTGAAAAAGTTGCCTCTTAGGTCCTTTGTAAATCTTTCCCCTCTCACCCTAACCTATGCCCTCTAATTTTGGACTCCCCTACCCTGGGGAAAAGACCTTAGCTATACATGCCCCTCATGATTTTATAAACGTCTATAAGGTCACCCCTCAGCCTCTGACGCTCCAGGGACAACAGCGCCAGTCTATTCGATTGGGAGAAATCAGACGTTAACGTTTCGGGTCCAGTGAACCCTTTCTCGCAACTCAGAAAGGGTCACCAGACTTGAAACGTTAACTCTGATTTCTCTCCACAGATGCTGCTGGACCTGCTCAGTTTTTCCAGCAATTTCTGCTGTTTCTGCTTCCCAGCATCCGCAGTTCTTTATATTCATTGGAATTTAGAAGAATGAGGGGTGGGGTGGGGGGGGGGGGGGGGATCTTATAGAAACTTATAAAATTATGAAGGGATTAGACATGATTGAAGCAGGGAGGTTGTTTCCACTAGCAGGTGAAACTAGGTCTACGGGGCATAGCCTCAAAATAAAGGGGAGCAGACTTAGGACTGAGCTGAGGAGAAACTTCTTCACCCAAAGGGTTGTGAATCTGTGGAATTCCCTGCCCAGTAAAGCACTTGAGGCTACCTCATTGAATGTTTTTAAGGCAAAAGAAGATGGAGTTTTGATGAGTAAAAGAATTAAGGGTTACAGTGAGCGGGTGGGTAAGTGGAGCTGAGTCCACGAAACAATCAGCCATGATCTTATTGGCCAGATGGCCCGCTCCTGCTCCTGGCTCTTATGGTCTTATATAGCAAGGTGTGGAGTTGAAGGAACACAGCAGGCCAGGCAGCATCAGAGGAGCCGGAAAGCTGACGTTTCGGGTCTGGACCCTTCTTCAGAAACCCTTCTCAGTGGTTAGCGATGCTGCCTCACAGTACCAGGGACCTGAGTTCGATCCCAGCCTTGTGTGACTGTGCGGAGTTTGCACGTTCTCCCTGTGTCTGCGTGGGTTTCCTCCCACAGTCCAAAGATGTGCAGGTTGGGGTGGATTGGCCATGTTAAGTTGGCCATAGTGTCCAGGGGTGTGCAAACTAGGTGAGTTAGCCATGGGGAATGCAGGGATGGGTGGGACGACCCTCAGTGTTGACTCGATGGGCTGAATGGTGTCTTTTCTCACACTGTAGGGATTCTAAGAGCATTTGAAAGGTGCTGTGGGATCTTTTACCCCTCTAGAGGGGCCAGATGGGGGGCACAAGATCAGTGCCTCATCCAAAAGACAGCGCCTCTAACACAGTAGCACTCTTCTGACTATTCCCCCTTTGGTAACTGACTGATTTCACTAATACAGAGATCTCAGATAACTAAGAATAACAGGGTTGTAAATTGTAGGGGATTTTAACTTGCCATAGTGTTAAGGCTTGGATGGGAAGGAATCTGTTAACTGTGTTCACAAAAAGTTTTCTTTATCGACATGTACTTGCAAGAGAAGGAGCAAAACTTGACCTTCTCTTGGGAAATAAGGCCGGGCAAGTGTCTGAAATGTTAGTGGGGGAGCACTCTAGGACCGGTTATCATAATTCTGTTATTTTTAAAATAGTTATGCAAAACAATAGGCCTTGTATAAAAGTTCAATGTTCTAAATTGGAGTAAGGCCAATTTTGTTGGTATGGAACTTTCAAAGCTTGATTGGAGTACACCGTCCTCAGGTAAAGGGACAATTGGCAAATGAGAGACTTTCAAAAGTGTGATAACAAGTACTCAGAGGCAGTATGTTCCTGTTAGAGTGAAGGGTAAGGCTGGTGGGAGTAGGGAACAATGGATGAAGAGACACTAAGGCTCTGGTCAAGAGTAAGGACATGGTGGTTGTAAGGTCTAGTCAAGTAAATCTCTTGAAGAGTATAAGGGGAATAGGGGCATTCTTAAGAGGGAAATCAGGAGCGCAAAAGGAGATGTGAAATAGCTTTGGCAGGTAAGATTAAGGATAATCCAAAGAGATTCGACAAATACATTAAGAGCAACTAGAGAGAGAATAGGATCCCCATAAATGATTAACAAGATCACCTATATGTGGAACCATAGAAAGGAGAGTCACTAAATGAATATTTCGCATCAGTATTTACTGCGGAGAAAGGCATGGAAGCTCCGGAACTCCACAAAATAAACATTCATGTCTTGAAAACAGTTCACATTGCAGAAGAGGAGGTGCTGGAGGTCTTAAAAATATAGGTCAGATGTCACACGTTACCAGAAGTCACCTGATGAAGGAGCAGCACTACGAAAGCTTGTGATTTCAAGTAAACCTGTTGGATTATAACCTGGTGTTAGGTGACTTCTGACCTTGTCCACCCCAGTCCAACACTGGCACCTCCACATCTTAAACAACATAAAAGTGGATAAATCTCCAGGACCTGATCAAGTGTATCCCAGGGCATCGCAGAAAGCTAGAGAAGAAATTGGTGGACCCCGAGCAGAGTTAGGTGCTAGAAAACTGGAGGGTGGCTTGTGTTGTGCCTTTATTTAAGAAAGGCTGGAAGGAGAAGCCCTGAAAGTATACAGCAGTGAGTCTGACATCAGTACTGGGTATGTTGTTGAGGGGGAATTCTGAAAGACAGGAATTACATGCATTTGGAGGGGCAAGGGATAGTCAGCATGGCTTTGTGCACGGAGAAAGGCGTCTCATGAATTTGATTCAGTTTTTTGATGATGTGACCAAGAAAATAGATGAAGGCAGAGCAGTAGACATTGTCTACATTGACTTTAGTAAAGCCTTTGGCACGGTTTTGCATGGTGGAACAGTTAGTAAAGTTAGATCATGTGGGATTCATGGAAAGCTTGCCAATTGGATACAAAATTAGCTTGGTGGTTAGAGACGGAGGGCAGTGGTGGAGGAGGATTGTTTTTTGGACTGGAGGCCTGTGACCAATGGTGCTCCACAGAGATCAGTGCTGGGTCCACTGTTATTCGTCATTTGTATAAACAATCTGGATGAGAATTTAGGAAGCATGGATACTGAATTTGCGGATGACACCGAGATTAGTGGTACAGTGGGCAGTGAAGCAGGTTATCTAAGATTACAAAGGGATCAAAGGTTTTGGAGTAGATTTGTAGCTCAAGTTGTGGGTGTTGAGGTTGGTTGGCTCGCCGAGCTGGTTTGTTGTTCCGCAGACGTTTCGTTACCGTGCTTGGTAACATCCTCAGTGCAGCCTCTGATGAAGCGTCGGTGTGTTTTCCCTCCTGGCTTTTAAACTCTGGGGTCCGTTGCGATGGATTGCCTCACTTCCGGGTTTCCTCCGTAGTGGAATGTATATGGGGTCAAGTTCGATGTGTTTATTAATAGCCTGCTTCGTGGAGTGCCATGCTTCCAGGAATTCTCATGCTTGTCTCTGCCTAGCCTGTCCCAGGATCTTAGTGTTGTCCCAGTCAAAGTCATGGTTCTCCTTGTTCATGTGGATTGATACTCGCTCATCTCAATCCACATGGACAAGGAGAACCACAACTTCAACTGGGACAACACTAAGATCCTGGGACAGGCTAGGCAGAGACAAGCATGAGAATTCCTGGAAGCATGGCACTCCACGAAGCAGGCTATTAATAAACACATGGAACTCGACCCCATATACATTCCACTACGGAGGAAACTCGGAAGTGAGGCAATCCATCGTAACAGACGCCAGAGTTTAAAAGCCAGGAGGGAAAACACACCGACGCTTCATCAGAGGCTGCACTGAGGATATTACCAAGCACGGTAACGAAACGTCTGCGGAACAACAAACCAGCTCGGCGAGCCAACCAACCTCAAAGTTACAAAGGGATCTTGATCAATTGGGCTGAGTAGTGGCAGATGAAGTTTGATTTGGATAAACGCAACATGTTGCATTTTGGCAAGAAGCACAAGGCAGGACTTGTACAGTTAATGATAGGCCCCTGGGGAGTGTTGTCAAACAGAGAGACCTCGGGGGTTCAGGAACATAGTTCTTTGACAGTTGCATCACAGGTAGACAAAGGTGTTTGGTACGCTTGCCTTCATTGCTCAAACCATTGAGTGTAGGACTTGGTATGTCATGTTGCGATTGTACAGGACATTGATGAGGCTACTTCTGGAGTATTGTGTACAGTTCTGGTTCCCCTGCTATAGGAAGGATATTATTAAATCAGAGAGGGTGCAGAAAAGATATACAAGGAGGTTACCAGGATTGGAGGGTTTGAGTTATAAGGAGAGGCTGGGATTTTTTACTGGAACATAGTAGGTTGAGGGGTGCCCTGATAAAGGTTTATTAAATCATGACAGTCACAGATAAAGTGACTGCAAGGGTCTTTCCCCTAGGGTAGGGGAATTCAAAACTAGACGGCACATTTTTATGGCGAGAGGAGAAAGATTTAAAAGGGGCCTGGGGAGCTACTTTTTCACGCAGACGGCAGTTCGTATGTGGAATGAGCTGCCAGAGAAAGTGGTAGATGCAGGTACAGTTACAACATTTAAGTGACATTTGGACAAGTGCATGGATAGGAAAGATTTAGAGGGATATGGGCCAAACAGAAGCAAATTGGACTAGTTTAGTTTGGGAGACTGGGTCAGCATGGATGAGTTGGACTGAAGGGCCTGTTTCCATGCTGTATGCCTCCTATGGAAAAACCAGATTTAAAGGCAGGAGTGTGGTGGTGAATGGGGCAAGGTTCAACCGGGGTACTGTTCAAATCCTCCTTCTCCAAGGTGATGAATCAGCCCATTCTGGGGCATTTCCTTCACTTTCACCTTTACCAACCACCCCCACCCCTGCCCCAAAGGTCTCTCTGTGGTCCATGTCGTGACCAGGGGTGCTGTTCCCCTGAGAGACTGCAAACCGCTCTCTTCCCCCAGGTGCTCTTATGGGGAGTGTCGCCACGTTATGCCCTCATCTGTGCCCGACCCTGGAGACCCACAGTGCCCAAGAAACCAGCTGCACCGCAAGAGAAATGCAAATACTTTATTAACACAAACCAAAATACAAAAAAAAACGACAGTCCAGCGGTTGGGTGGAAGTGTAGGAAAGAGGGGACTGTCTCTGGTGGCCGTATGGAGTCCCGTCAATCCCAGCACTGGCTACCTCTGGGCTCAGTGCGCTGCAGAACAGCTTATGATCCAAATGCTATCTCCACACAATAGTGCGACGTCCAACTGAGATGCAGATTTCAGTTGGGAATCCTCATGGTACTAGCAATGGACTCGAGCAACAACCCTAGCAATTAGTTTGACTGAAATCATTTTAAAATGTATTTCAACCTCCACGGTTCCATCTCTCTACTCCTTGGAATGATTCAGCTGGAACCTGGGGTCAAAAGTTCCAGCACTGACCCATTCCATTAGGCAAACACTCCCAGAGTAGGTACAGCACCGGGCTGGATACAGAGTAAAGCCTCTCCACTCTTAAACTGCAAGTAAAGCTCTCTCTAGTGTCCCCATCAAGCACTCCCAGGAGACGTACATCATGAGGTTAGACAAGACAGGGATAGCATGGGGTTAGATACAGAGTAAAGCTCTCTCTACACTGTCCCCCCCATCAAACACTCCCAGGACAGGGACAGCACAGTGTAAGATAGAGAGTAAAGCTCTCTCTACATTGTCCCTGTCAAACACTCCCAGGACAGGGAAATCATGAGGTTAGATACAGAGTAAAGCACCCATAGTCAGTGAGGATTTTCATCCTTTTCTGTGTGAGCAGATGTTGAGCTCAAGACCCAAAGGTGAACAGTATCTTATCGACCTTGGAACCCACCCCCCAAACCCAGAACAACTGTACAAACTCTCAAAACCTCTATTCAATACCAGACAGGATTTCCTGTAACAATCCAGGACCATGGGAGGAATGCCAACCCTCCAGGAAATGTCCTACAGTTTCCAAAACACTAAAGTTTAAACGGTCTTCAAAATGAATGATTGCAAGGGGAAGTGGGGGTGTGAGAGGGAGGGGTGTGGCTAACAGTTGTGTTTATTAGTTGCAGAGATGTTGGATAAGGGAGAAGGTGAAAGGCTGTTGAACTGGGTTGGGAGATTGTCCAAATGATTATGCCTCCAGCACTATGAGGGAGGCTGACTAGACTGAACCTTTATACTCCGAATTTCACTACGGCTAATTGCTGCATGCCACATCTAGAGACATCATTTGCTCCCCAAACGTGCAAAGTCAAATTTGGCTGGAGGTCATAGCAGGACATTTCTGTGGCTTGCAGGGTGCACTAAAGCCAATGAAACGGACATTAGCGCCCCCTGGAGTCCTGGTGTGCTACAGCACTGGCAGATTCAGGGCTCAGACCGTCGCGACCTCCGACAGAGAGTGCCCCCCCACCCCCCGCCCCAGAGTGCAACTACGCCAGCCGCTTCAAGCTGTGCATTGCGTCGGCGCAGTTCCGGATCAGAAGGCAGAGCTGAGAGCTGTACTCCACGGAGGAGGCCCGCTCCAGCTCGCCGCAGGCCCACGCCAGCCTCTGCAGGACCGCCCGCTCGGCCTCCCAGCGGGCGTTGGCACGAGGGGTGCCCAGGCAGGCCGGCCCCGGGGGCGCATCACCTTCGGCCCGGGGAGGGGCTGGCTCAGGGGGCTCCAGACAAGGGGCGGGCAGAGACCTGGCTTCGAGCGAGAGTTCCGGAGTGGAGCGGGAGCAGAGCGCCTCCTCCTGGCCATTGAGGACACGCTGTCGCTCTCGAACTTGAGACAGGGCTGCCTGCGGGTTCAAAGCTGCGAGATTAAAAAGGCAAAGATTAAATCAGGAGAAGATGGGAGGAGAGCAGGGTTTTGCAAACTTCACAGACGCACAAACGTGCCCTCCTTTCTCACGGACTACTAAAAGACACGCGTGCATACCTATTTTTCTAAATCAACCTGTGCAAGGATGTTATTACACACCTCTGGAGCACGTGGGACCTGAACCTGGGCCTCCAGGACCGGGGTAGGGGCACTACCACTGCACCACGAGAGGGTCCCTAATTTTTTTTTGCCTGGTTTCGAACCAGGGCTCTTTCGCGTGTAAAGCAAACGTGATGACCACCACACCATCTTATGGAGACACGCACTTATCTAGCACCTTCCACAACCCCAGGGTGCCCCCAAATGCACTTTAAACCTCAAAGAATTTTTGAACGTGCAGTAACTATCCCCAACAAACAGCATCGAGAGGGATAAATAAAAAGGCAGACATCCCTATTCAGGATCCCGCCCCTTCCAAAAAGTGGCTTGGGAATCTTTTACTTTCATCTGTTCCCTTCATTCTAAGGACATTGGAGTAGGCCACCCCGTCGAATCCGCTCAATACAATCATGTCTTTTACCCCTGCTATTCCCATAACCCTGTGTACCATTGATCGATTTCTGATGACCAATCTTTACATTAAACATCTTCAAAGAGGGGGATCTAATTGAAACTTTCAGAATACTGAATGGCCTGGACAGGGTGGATGTTGGGAAGATACTTCCATTGGTAGGAGAGACTAGGACCCGAGGGCACAGCTTTAGAGTAATGGGAAGACCTTTTAGAACGGAGATAAGGAGAAACTTCTTCAGCCAGAGAGTGGTGCATCTATGGAATTCACTGCCACAGAAGGCTGTGGAGGCCAGGTCATTGAGTACATTTAAGACAGGGATAGACAGGTTCTCGATTATCAAGGGGTTCAAGGGATACGGGGAGAAAGCGGGAGAATGGGGTTGAGGAACTTATCAGCCATGATTGAATGGCGGAGCAGACTCGATGCGCTGAATGGCCTAATTTCTGCTCCTATGTCTTATGGACTAAACCTCTGTGATAGAGAATTCCAAAGGTTCACAACCCTCTGAGTGAAATAATTTCTCCTCACCCAGAGAGTGGAAATCACTACCGCTGAAAGTAGTAGAGGCCAAAATCGTCGTCTGATTTCAAGAAGGATTTGGATATAGCAGTTGGGGCCAAAGGGAAAAGCAGGAACAGACAACTGAGTTGTACAGACAACCATGATCATAATGGTGGAGAAAACTCGAAGGGCCGAATGTCCTACTCTTGTTCCTATTTTCTATGTTTCTATCTTGTATTTAAGTGGCATCCCCCTCATTATTGCATTGTCTCTCTCTGGACTCCTCAAACATCGCACTTGCATCTACCCTGTTTACATCCCTTTAAATATTTTGTAAGTTTCAATGAAATCCCATTCTTCAAAACTCTTGTGAGTACAGACCCAGTCTCTCTTCATAGCACAATTTCTCTATCCTGGGAACAAGTCAGGTGAACCTGCATACGCTCCCTCTGTGGCAATTATATCTTTCCTGGAATAAGGAGAACCAGGACTGCTCTCAGTTCTCCAGGTATAGCCCAACCAACCACTTTTACAAAAGCTACAGCTGCATGTCATTGGAAGCAGGCACCTATGACAGTGCTGCACTTCCTGAGTACTGTCACCAGGAGTGTTGTGTTAGCCTTGAATCTTTTGCTCCTGGTGTGAGACTTGACCTTACAACCTTGTAGAGGGACGTGCCACTCCTCCCTAACAGTGGTGTTACAGAGCGGAACAAAAACAGAAGTTGCTGGAAAAGCTCAGCCGCTCTGGCAGCATCTGCAAAGAAAGAAAAAATCTGAGTTAACGCTTTGGGTCCGGTGACCCTTCCTCAGAACTTCTCAGGAGGAAGGGTGACCGGACCCGAAACGTTAACTCTGATTTTTTTTTTCTTCACAGATGCTGCCAGACCCACTGAGCTTTTCCAGCAACTTGTTCCTGATTTACAGCATCCGCAGTTCTTTCAGTGTTATAGAGCAGAACAGTTACAGTCTATGCGAAGGAGGCGATTTTAAAATTAACTCGGATATAGCAAGAACCGCTGATGTTGGAGTCAGAGACAATAGAGTGTGGAGTGGGAGGAACACAGCAGGGCCAGACAGCACTGGAGGAGCAGGAAAGTCGACGTTTCGGGTCGGGACCCTTCTTCAAGGCTGATGAGTCCTGATCAAGGGTGTAAACCTGAACTATCAACTTTCCTGCTCCCCCAACGCTGCCTGCCCTGCTGTGTTCCTCCAACTTCACACTATGTTGACTCTGATTTTAAAATCAAAACACCATTCTGGTTGCTCTGACACTTCAGTCCTTTCACCTGGGTTATCTTTGTCCACGTCAGAATCCAGCTCCTGACAGGCAACGCAGTAGTTCTTCTGCTTCTTGTCTTGAAGGAGAACAGTCTGTCAGGGAGAACAACGGATGGGAGGTCAACCCACCAGTCCGAAGCAGCACTGAACCCTCCCGGCATGGACAGGATATCCTACCCCACCATGGCCTGCATCTCTGGAAGTACCACAACATACCTGCCCCTACAACAGAATGCTGGCTGGGTAATCAAAAATATTTCAGAGATAGTGGGAACTGCCGATGCTGG